GGAAAACTACAAGACGGCCAAATCCAAACTCAAAAAGCGCATACTTTCAGGAGCACCGCGTCATGGCGAGGCTACTGCGGGAACATTACGTCTTGTGCACAAGCGAACAGAATAAGGAAAATCCTAGGCAACTCAAATTCAACTGAGCTAGGTTCAATACGCAAAATAGATAACACATACACAACTTCCCCTGCGGAAACGGAGAGAACCCTACTGGAAACACATTTCCCAGGATGCAGGTTCGTCCAAGATGACAGGTGCGAAGAAATGAACCATAACACATCGATCCATAACTGGCGATACGCTGAACAAGTAGTAACATACGAAAAGACAAAATGGGCAGTAAACACCTTTGAACCGTACAAAGCTCCGGGCCAAGATGGAGTATTTCCCGCACTCCTACAATGGGGCGGGGACACACTGGTCCAGCACCTGGTCGACATCTTTCGGGCCTGTCTAGCATTCAGCTATGTGCCCCACAGCTGGCGAGAGGTAAAAGTCATTTTTATACCGAAACCAGGAAAAAACGACTACACTGACGCGAAATCCTTCAGACCAATCAGCCTCACATCGTTCTTCCTGAAAACATTGGAAAGGCTATGTGACAGAGAACTGAGGGATGGTGCGCTTAAGAACATACCATTACACGGAAACCAACATGCATACAGCCAAGGCAAATCCACTGAATCGGCCCTACATGCCGTTGTTGGCAAGATAGAAGAGGCCCTCAAAAACAAAGCAATCTGCCTAGGCACCTTCATAGATATTGAGGGAGCCTTCGATAAAACCAACTTTTCCAGCATACAATCAGCACTGAGAAGACACGAAGTGGATGAAGTGCTGATCAGCTGGATTAGCAACATGCTAAAACAAAGAACAATAAAAACAACAGCAAAAGAGACCCCACGGGCCATAGTAGCGAAGGGGTGCCCTCAAGGGGGGTACTGTCGCCGCAGCTGTGGAACATGGTCGTAAATGACCTCATCATCAAACTAAACAAAGAACATTTCTATACAGTAGGATATGCTGATGACATAGCTATACTGGTAACAGGAAATTATGCCAATACTCTCTGCGACATAACACAAGCTGCACTCCGGATTGTGGAAAGATGGTGCAAGGCATACGAACTATCGGTAAACCCGACAAAGACGGAACTAGTAATGTTTACAAACAAAAGACTACTGGGTAACTACCTACTACCCAAACTCTTCAGTACAGAACTAAAATTATCAACCGAAGTCAAGTACCTGGGGGTAATACTAGACAACAAGTTGAACTGGAACAAGCATCTGAACAACAAAATTCAAAAAGCCACTATCACCTTCTGGCAGTGCCATAGAATGGTGGGTAAACAATGGGGACTTTCACCCAAGATAACACTATGGCTCTACACAGCGGTGATAAGACCCATGATCAGTTACGGCGCTACAGTATGGTGGCCACGAACCCAGCTGACGACCGCAACCGACAAGCTGGACAAATTCCAAAGACTTGCTTGCGTGGCGACGACCGGCTGCATGAGGACAACACCAACTGCGGCCCTCGAAGCGATGCTGGACCTGCGACCCCTCCCACTGTTCATCAGACAGGAAGCGGCGTCAACAGCAGTGCGTCTAAATAGAGCCGGCCTTTGGAAGAACATGAGGACCCCACACACAGAAATCCTCTATAAGACTGTCAATGAGGAACCGCTACTGGAGGCGGCTGTGGATAGGATCCCAAAACAATACATCTTTGACAAAAAATACAAGATACAATTGTTTGAAGAACCCAACGAAGGACTAAACCCCAAAGAGGTCCGCGTCTTCACTGATGGATCTAAAACAAATTCAGGAACAGGTACTGGGGTATTCTCAGAAGACCTCAATATCAGGATATCAACACCACTTGGTGACCACAACACAGTATTCCAGGCTGAATGCATGGGCATCAAGTTGGCGGCAGAAGCAATCATAGCGAGAAGAGTTAAGAACCACTCCATTCGAATACTCTCAGACAGTATGTCAGTACTACAAGCACTGAACAGCTATGACATAAACTCAGGGCTCATTTATGAATGCCATCAAGCACTCATGGAGGTATGTATACAAAACCACGTAACCCTACAGTGGATTAAAGGACACAGCGGCTCACGCGGCAATGATGCAGCAGATGAACTAGCCAGAAAAGGATCGGAGGCGGACGCTGTAGGACCAGAACCCATAGTGTCCCTCCCCTACCAATGGTTCAAAACAACCATACACAAAGGTACAAAATCATCACATAATAATACATGGACGACCCTTACGGTCTGTAGACAGGCGAGGGAAGCACTCCCAACGCTCAATGCCAGTCTATCTCGAATATTTATTAAACTCAAAAGGCAAGAGCTTCGCACTCTAACTGCCGCCCTAACGGGTCATGGTCCATACAATAAACACCTTTTCAATTTAGGTATCACAGACAGCCCTCTATGCAGAGCGTGCATGGAGGGGGAGGAAACGGCTGCGCACATCCTACTACAGTGCTCCGGCGTGGCCAACTACAGGGCAAAGTACCTTGGAGTGCCAAGGTCGCTCCCCGAAGTCTTCAGCAAGCCGAGGAGGCTGCTGAGATTCCTGGAGGAGCTTGGGTGGCACGAGTAGGACCCTGCACCCACCACACGCAAAATAGGCGCCTTGACGTCGAGTTGCGGACACCAGCCCGTTGCACCAAGTACCAAGTACCAAGTAGGCGCCCAGGTGAACGATTTTCGCAGTGCTGTTTCGCTGAAACTGTTGCATATGGCGGCGGCTCTTGTATGATGTGGGCTGGAATTTCTTTAGACGAGAAAACCGAACTCGTTTTCGTGCCTGGGGGGACCGAGGAGGAGGATTGACAGCCGATCGGTATATTACCGATATACTCCTAGAACATGTTGTTCCGTACACGGGGTTTGTCGGCGATAACTTCTTATTGATGCACGATAATGCCCGGTGTCACACTTCGCGTATAACTAAGCGGTTTCTGGAAAAAGTCCGTATACAGACCATGGACTGGCCAGCGCTTAGTCCAGACATGAATCCCATCAAACATTTATGGGACGAGCTCAAACGAAGGGTCCGAGCCAGAAATCCGGCACCTTCAAATATCAATGAGCTCAAGACGGCGTTGTTAGAGGAATGGGACGGAATTCCTCAAGAAGTTATTAAAAAGTTAATCAGGTCAATGAAAAATCGACTACAAGCTGTTACTAGAGCTAGAGGGGGTAACACCAAATATTAGGGGTTAAAGTATGAAATTGCCGTTTTATTGCAATAGGTTTTTTGAATTTTCATAGAATCTTCATGGTTTGAGGTTTTTGAATGAAACTTTTTTCAAATGGTTTCTGTGATTTTTTTTTTAATTTGAATATCGACTTTCAATTGTTTTTGTTATTCAATTTAGACAAG